GATTTTAAAAATATTGTTAAAAACTCTTCGTATTTTGGAGACCCTTTATCCTGGCTGGTCCCTCAATTTATCTCTTGTACTAAAAGGTGCAGTCGTGCTTTAGTTAAATGGAGTAGAAAGGCCTTCCCTAATAATAGGAAGGAAATAGAACATACTTTATAACAGCTAGCAAATCTTAATGAAGGTATTCTCACCTTTGAGACCAATGAAGAGATTTCTTCTCTTATTAAGGATCTAGAAAGACTATGGAAACTTGAAGAATCTTACTGGTGGTAGAGGTCTCGGGTTAATGGGATTGTTGGAGGTGATCTCAATACTCGTTTCTTCCATGGTTTAACCAAAACTAGAAGGCAAAGAAACCATATTGTTAAATTGCATAATAGCTTTAGTCAATGGTTTGAATTTGAATAAGAAGTGGCTAGCCTAATCTCTAATTTTTACCAAGACCTCTTCACTAAGAGCCACATTCACAATCTTAATCTTATTTTAAGCTATGTCTAGCCCTGTATTGGTGATTCTCAAAATGGCTAGTTAATTTCATCCATTACTAGAGAAGAACTCAAGCAAGCAGTTTCAAACTTGGGGGATCTAAAGTTGCAGGGCCTGATGGCTTTAATGGCCACTTTTATCAATCTTTTTGGGAAGAGGTTAGTGATTCTCTTTTTCTGCTTATTAATAATATTTTGTTCAAAGATGAAGATCCTGGTTCCCTAAATGAAATAAACCTAATTCTTATACCTAAGATTGAAAGGCCTGAAACGATTAGCCAATTTAGGCCTATAAGTCTCTGTAATTTTGCCTTCAAAGGCCTCTCAAAAGTCTTAGCCAACAAATTTAAGGTATTTTGGGTGACTGTGTGTCTGAAAGTCAAAGGGCTTTTGTCCTTGGCAATTTAGGCCTATAAGTCTTTGTAATTTTGCCTTCAAAGGCCTCTCAAAAGTCTTAGCCAACAAATTTAAGGTATTTTGGGTAACTGTGTGTCTGAAAGTCAAAGGGCTTTTGTCCCTGGCTGACTTATTCATGATAATATCATCTTAGTGCATAAGGTGTTTCATTTTTTGAAAATGCAGAGTGGGAAATAACTATTTCTTTGCCTTTAAAATAGATATGAATAAAGCTTTTGACCGGTTGAAATAGGCTTTCATTGAGGTTGTCTTAGTCAAGATGGGATTTTGTGAAACTTGGATAAAATGGATTATGAAATGTGTGATGTGTCCTACTTTTAATATTCAGGTTTCTGGTAAAAACATTGCTCGAATTCAGCCAGAAAGAGGAGTGAGGCAAGGTGACCCATTATCCCCATACCTCTTTATAATTGCTATTGAAGTGTTATCTCTTACGCTAAGTAAGCATACTGCAAATGGTGACATTACAAGAATCAAAATTACTGATGAGTGCCCAATGCTGACTCATTGCCTATTTGCTGATGACACAATTTTATTTCTTCATATTCATAGAAAAAATTACAACATCATTAAAGAGCTCCTTCAATCCTATTGCAATGCTTTAGGTCAGCATATCAACTATGATAAGTCATCATTATTGTTCTCTGCAAATACTTCACAAGTTGTTAAGGATGAAGTTTATTCTTTCCTTCATGTTAATGTTGTGGATAATCTAGGCTCATATTTGGGCTTACCAGTTTTATGGGGGCATTCAAAAGTTGCTACTCTTGTCTATATGAGGGACAAAGTGGGCAACAAGGTTTACAACTATGATAAAGTTATGATATCCCTATTTACCCCATGACTTGTTTCAAATTGTCCAAGACGACATGTACTGAATTGAACAGTCTTGTTGCTAATTTCTTTTGGGGCAATCTAATTCTAGGAATTCCATTCATTGGAAAGCTTGGAGCAAGCTATGTGCCCCCAAAAAGGATGGGGGCCTTGGTTTTTGTGACTTTATGAATTTCAATGATGCACTTCTAGCCCAAACAACATGGCGAGCACTACAGATCCTAATCAATTATGGGTGAAGTTCTTAAGGCAGTCTACTTTCCTACCAGTTCCTTCCTTTAGGCTAAAAAAGGGGCACGAGCCTCATCGGCTTGGAGCACCACTTTGCAAGGTCGTGACATACTCTTAAAAGATGCTTGTTATAGAGTGGGATATGGGATAGACATCTTGATCTGGGCTAATCCGTGGCTACCTGGATTGCCTACCTTCAAGGCTGTGCCCTGTGATCATGCTGTCATAGATAAAACTCTTAAAAGTTCAAGACCTAATTTCCAATGGGGCTTGGGATTTGCAACCCATTTTGTCTACTGCTTCAACAATCACCATTAATCAAATTCAAAAAACCCGCATACCTTTGTATCCCTCTTCAGATGTGGTTGTTTAGACTGGAGCAAATAATGGAATATACACTACTAAACTTGGGTATAAGTTAGAATATGACTGACAACACCCTGTGATCCTTGCTAATCCTAGCTCATCTACTGAGTTCTCGGAGATTCTTTGGAGGCATGTGTGGAATCTAAGTATTCATCCTAAAGTTAAGCATTTCATGTGGAGAGCTCTAAATGGAGCACTGGCAACACGGGAGGCTCTTTTCTCAAGGAAATGTGCTGCTGACCCTCTTTGCCCATTTTGCAAATCTCAATCAGAATATATAGAACACATGTTACTGCTATGTGATTGGTCTAGAAAAAATCTGGTATGGTTCCCTTCTGACTCTAATAACTGATCCCATGTAAATATCCTCATTTGCAAACTAGTGCAATCTCTTCCTAGCTGATGACAGTCCAATTACTGATTATGACAAATCTTACATAGCTTGCTCATGCTGAAATACATGGAAAACTAGGTCTGCATCAGTCTTTAATGCAGCAGCTCCAAATCCCAGCTAGTTTCTAATATCAACAGCTGCAGCAGTGGATGAATTCTAGAAAATTAATCATTTAGTGCCAAATATCACTAGGTCCTCTGAGGTTTTCAATTCTGTTTGGAAGCCCCCAGATTCTGGCGTTATTAAAATTAATTGTGATGGAGCATTTTTAAAAGCTACGAAAATGGCAGCCATTGGCATCATACAGCTTTGGGACCCTTCTTAAAAACTGGCGTGAGGTTGTTGATGCTGATTCTAGCTTTTTATCTGAACTTTTGGCATGCAAGAAAGCAGTACAATTAGCCTCTGAATTTAATGAAGGCAAGGTTATTATTGAGCTGGATTGCCTTGATCTCTTTCGAGCCTTGATTCAAAGGGATATTTCTTATTTTCCCTGGCCTTGTCATGGGTTGTTGGAAGATTTATTGGCTATCACGGAGTCCTTGCATTTTCTCTCCTTTTCGTTTGTCAAACGTGAAGGTAATTCTGTTGCTGATTGGTTGGCAGCCTCCACTTTAAAGGATGTGGATGCAAATGGATGGGTCTTCTGTCCACCACCTCCTTTTATTTGTCTTCTTCTCAAGGATTCTGATCGTCTTCAGTCTACATTCCAGCGTCCTGTGTTGAATCGTGACAGAGAAGGGATTGGTTGATTTGTTGTAGCTTCTTTTGTTTTGTCTTTTTCTAGGTCTTTCTTTGTGGCTTTTGACTATTTTGTTGCTTTCGTTATTATCAGTTTGTAATCTCTTATGCTTCCCTAATGGAGATTCTCTTTGGTCAAAAAAAAAAATCTTTCTAAATATATTCTTCATTAAATGTAATCAGATCTTCAATGGGAAATGAATCAAATTAATAGGGTCAAGTAATTTTTTTTTTATCTATCAGGATATTCCAATATTTCTAAATATACTCTTCATTACATGTAATCGGATCTTTAATGAAAATGAATCAAATTAACGAGGTCAATTAATTTTTTATCTATCAGGAACACTTTTAGGACAAATTTATAAGGTTCACAATTGCAAGAGCTCTGTTACAGCTAGGCATCAAAGTTTCCTTTCTTCCTCATACTATGTTAATTAAGCATTAATTTTAACCGTAAATTTAATTATTTTTATTATTGTATATGTATTTTATTGAATTGGTATAATTTTATTAGATAGAGTACAGATGAAGTGCTGCTCTATGCAAAAATTTCTAAAATAGATTTCTCCTAATCAAATATTCCCCCAAACCTATTGAGGAAATAAATGATAAGTTAAAATTTAACTATGATTCATTTTTTTAATAATTAACCCCAGAATAAAAGTGAAGGGCCTTCAATCCTTTGACCATCAATGACGATGATGTATGAATATGATGATGACGACTATTAGTATGATTATGATATTATTATTATTACAAAAAATAGGGAGAATATCAATTAGCGCCCTCCCAAAAAATTATTATTATGTTTTCACTACAGCCATTGAATGGTTAATGATTGGTCAATTTAAGAAAAGGGCCAAAAGAGGTTTGAACCCTTAACCCTTTAATTCCTCAAAATATTGAAAACCATTTAACCAACAAACAATTCAATATAGACAGTGCTATATGTGTGTCTGTGCGCACACTATAATTTTCATTTTCAAGCATTTCCACCAGTTATTGTAAATTATGGACAAATTGTTAATATTTGAATAATTACTCATAAATATTCAAACATAATTTATTAATATTTAAAAGAAGTTGTCAATTTTTGATGAACAACTTATTTAATTTTTTAATAATTTGTTCCTTTCATATTAACAAGTGATCGATGTTATACTAAATAAAATACACACACACATTATAATTTACTTTCTAAGCATTTTCATGAATTTTTGTTAATGTTGGACAACATGTTGTTATTATTGAAATAACCACTTATAAATATTTAAATATGATTTGGCCTTTGACGAGGCAGTGATTTGGCCACCAGCGATGAAGCTTTGATGGCAATAATGGGATTTTTTTTTGTATTTTTCTAAATACATTTTAGTAATTAAACAACCAAATTTAATTGCAATTGAGGCTTTTGGATATTGGAGGGACCTATACTCTTCCTAAAAAATATCACGTATCATTTTTGGATGGATAGTAAAAAATCAATATCCATCAGAACTCAAAAGGCATGAGATAGGGAGACTAACCGAGTCCGGATTCGGATCCACATTTCAAATCAGGATCACTGTCTGGGCAATAGCATTTGAAAATGCAACCTTCAGGGTCCCCGTTGAAGCCACATTTCCATCCGGTCTCCTGACATGAACTGCATTCCGCGTCATTATAGTAATTCAAGAGAAACCCTCTTCTCATGACTTGTCCATCAATATTGGAATTCTTTTCCACTTTCGTTGTCGCCACCCCACCGATACATTTCTCAGACGCCGACCTCAAATCCTCACCCTCCTCTGTTATGGCCAGAACGGACGTCGCTTCGTTTTGTGCAGAACACCCAATCCTGTACTTGGAAAAATATTCTGGCAGCGACTCCAGGTTGCATTCGAACATCAGGAATAGGTCCATCTGGTTCGGAGCGAAACTGAATCTGGTTACGTCAAGGGATATGTTGTGAATACGAGGAATCACACATGAATTGCTGTTTGACGACAAGGTTGCAGCTTCCGACACTCGAATTGACTGGTTGGTGTAGGAAATTTCATGGATGAAGTACTGGATGCCGAAGATATTGAGGATGGGAAGGCCATTATCGGAACAAGAAAGGCCGACACCCGAGCCTCCACTAAAGGATTTTTGTCGGCCTTCGATGTAAAAAGGGTAGCTTATGGTTAGGTTACCGCAGGTAGTGGGCTGACAAGCTTTAAAATTTAGGTTAAGAGATGAACAAAATCTGACTCTGACGAACAAATAGGAGAAGATGAAGATTGAATAGAGGTTGTTTTGGGTCATCTTGGCGAGGGGGAACGTCCAAGAAAGAGAAGACAACACCTACCGTTAATCCACGCCTGAAACTCAAAACACAAGTCGCCGCTGACTACTTTTGTTTAATCAAGAATACAAATTGTATTAATTAAAAAAAGAAATTAAAATCCCCACTCAAAGGCTTATGGCGCAACGGGTGCTTATCCGGAACTCTCAACTCGCCTTTTTCATTTTTAAAACATAAAAATAATAAAAAAGATAGAAAGAAGATTTTTTTTTTTTTTTTGGGGCCAACAAGAAGTTACATCAGTAGAATGAGTGCGTTGGATTCATCAGGATCACGTTCAGATTTTTAATTTATTTTATATTTATTATAAAAAATTATATAATTTT